AACATGACATGAAAGCACAAATGCCCTTTATATAAGATACAAACAAGAAAAATAAAACCCCTAACCCTCAGAAAACAAAGAAAAATAATAAATATAAAGAAGAAAAAAGAAGCAAATATGCATATGTACATCCACAAAACCAATCAGCACAGCATGAACCCTGGGTGTTGGTGGTAGTGGTGGGGTTTAATGAAAAATGAATTTTCTGTGCTCAGGTTATGAAAACTGTCAACAAAAATGGGTGTTCACTCACTGTGCCAGACTACCCTTCTTTCCATTTCTTCTGGGGCTATGTACCCCTTGGGCTATGAACCTCCAGCAAAGACTGGAAGTTGTTAAACTTTGGCTCTGTTTGTGTTGCTCACCGACTTGCCAGCTAGAGTGACCTGGAGTCACAGCTGGCTGAAATAGTTCTCAGTTTCCCTTCTCACTAATTATAAGGAAGAACAGAATGGGAAGTACTATCATTTGGAGTTCTGTCTGGACAGACTAAATCAAAGTGCTCCCAGGGTAGGACTGCTACAGAGTTCTACTTGGAAACTTCTGGCAGTTGAGGTTTGGCTTTAATCAAGCCTTTGGAACTTTGTTGGGTGGTACTTGCTCTGGAGAGATTAGATGGACACACCTGTTGGGCCAGGTAGAGGCCCATCTGCATCTCAAGGGATCTCCTGAGAATTCTACTAGAAGGGAAGAGGAGCCAACACTCCACAGATTTACACACTCTATTACCCAAAAATGTGGCCTTCCAGATTCAGTGTACAGAATTCCAGAGTGAAAGCATGCCCACCTGTTCAGTTTCCTCACCCTCTTCAACTGGTTATGTGAGCCATCAGACTCAAAGGGAAAGCAAGTTGCTCTCACCAGCATATCTCTGACTTGAATCCTGCTGGGTACAATCCTCTCTGCGCCTGTACCTCTGTGCTCTGCTAGGTACACCCTAAGCCACACAGTAGGTGCTTGCCTGTACAGCATGGCAATATTTGCTATGACTTCACAGGCTCCCACAGGAACAAACTGCAGAGTGGCCTCTTGATGGCTCCTGCTTTAGCTCTCCATTCACCAGTTGAGAAACTCAATACTTTTCAAATACCAGCTCATTGTACAACCTCTGGTTCAGCTAAGCTCAGCCTGCTTTTCTGTCCGACAGTTGCTCCATGCCCAATTGGTCCATTATTTCTGTGTGTTATTATCCCTCACTTCTGCAGTTAACTGATCCTGCTGTCACTGCTGCTACTGGCTTCAATCCAATACACTCTTTCTTATTCTTTTTTCAATATACTGAATTTATGGGTCTCTAAGTGCGGCTTCACGCGACTAAATCAATCAGGGTCACTCCAAGTGAATTAGAACTGATACAAAATAATCACACAAAGAGAAATACCTTTTTCTTTGGGTTCAGTGACTGCTCCTCAGCCACAACTCCCCAAAGGAGGACAAGGCAGGCAAGAAAGGAGGAGGAGCACTCCTCAAACCTGGGTTTTATTAAATGGGAGGAGCTAATCCATGGAACATTCTATCCAAAAAAGGGCAAAGGGTAGGGTTTCAACAAACACGTGGGTGTAATTCAACCCCATTAGGTGATGCCCACTCTTGGAGCTGTAGCTTTCATCTGAGTGGAGGTAAAGTCCAGTTGCATTGCAATGGGTGCAATACCCGTTCAGTACCCGGGACTTAAAAGGTGTGTATATAGCTACTGTCCCGAGTGGCTCCCAACATCTAAGAGTCTCTGACTGTCTGATATTGAACTTCAATGAATTATCTTTTCCTGCTGCTTGAAAATGTGGCACATATACAGAATGGAATATTACTCCGCCATAAAGAAGAATGAAATTATGGCATTTTCACRTAAATGGATAGAACTAGAGAATATCATACTAAGTGAAATAAGCCAAATCCAAACAACCCAAGGCCAAATGTTTTCTCTGATAAACAATGCTGATCCATAGMGGGTGGGTGGGGGAGGGAGACTGAAGGAATTTTGGATTATGTAGACGTAAACAGGAATGAGAGGAGGGGTGGGGCGGTGGGAATGGGAAAGACGGTAGAATGAGACAGTCATTACTACCTATATACACGTATGATTACTCTACTGGTATGACTCAGCACCACGTGCAGCCAGAGGAATGAGAAGTTATGCTCCATTTGTGTACAACATGACAAAATGCATTCCACTACCATGTATAACTAATTAGAACAAATTGAAAAAAAAAAGGGGGCTGGGATTGTGGCTCAGCGGTAGAGCGCTCGCTCCCCTAGCACGGCGAGACCCGGGTTCAATCCTCAGCACCTCATAGAAATAAAGACATTGTGTTGTGTCCATCTACACCTAAAAAATAAATATTAAAAWTTTAAAAAATCATCAGAAACATAGAAGTGTTTCTTTAAAAGTAGAATGAAGGGGAATAGGGGAAGGGATGGGAGGGAAAAGGGATGGATTGGGGAATGAAATTGATCCAATTACACTGTTTTATTGTGTGGATGTATATTATGACAAATTAAAAATAATAATAAATTAAAAATCTTCACATAAAATAATATCCATGATCCTGAATTCATTAGAATTCCATGAAAAATTATGATTCTGTCAACATATTTTGATACCATGCTCCTGACCTGGTATGTCGCTTAGAATTTTGTAAATGCCATGTCACCCTTTAGTCCAAACATTTCTTGAAAATTGATGTGGATTGTCTATAATGATTTTGGTTTGGGTCATTTCCTGGCTATTAATGAAAAGAGTGGGGTCAACTGTCTTCAACACTTTCACTCTTTGAGGTTATTTATTTCAAATAAGTGGTCTGAGGTGAAATCATTATTGCTTAATTAGTGTATTTTTTTTATACTGAGGATATTTCCAGAATAAAATGGAGTATTTTGGAACAAGAACAAAAAAAAAAGAGGAATAGACAGTTTGAACGACACTTATCTTTCAAAGAATTTGAGTTTGTAGCTAAAAAATTTTCCCATTATGGAAATGCCAAGTTAATATTACTTTTCAGGTAAATTATAACAATTAAGGAAGAAACCTCAATTTTAAATTTTTCTAGAAAATCAAAAGGAAGAGAAAACTTCTTGACTCATTCTGTGAAGTTAGCATTACCTGATAATAAAATAAGACAAACACATTACAAACCTGAAACACCAGCAAACAAAAAATTACATGAATACCCCAAACATAACATGCAAAAGTTCTAAACTAAACATTAGCAAACAACATATAAAAAGATAATACAGAGCTGGGGATATAGCTCAGTTGTTAACAGTGCTTGCCTTGCATGCACAAAGCCCTGGGTTCAATCACCAGTGCCACACAAAAATAATAATAATAATAATAATAATAATAATAATACATCATGAATGAGTTGGAATTTTTTCAAAAAAACAAAGTTGGCTTAATATTAAAAAATCAATTTTTTTTTTTCCCACGGAATAGCCTTCCCACTAGAATTCATAGGTGGTTTTTACAAAATGCAGATACAACATCAATGCTGAACAACAACAACTACTACAAAAAAACAGTTGCAGGGTCCAGGGTTGTGGCTCAGTGGTAGAGTGCTTGCCTAGCATGCATGAGGCACTGGATTCAATCCCCAGAACCACATAAAAATAAACAAATAAAGGTATTGTGCCCATCTACCGCTAATTTTTTTTTTAAAAATGCATTTCTCTATATTAGCAAAGACCAATAGAAATTGAAAAATTTAAATGCCACTTTGAAAAGCATAAAAAAGTGTAGTTTTCCTCCCAAACCCCTAGATTTAGGGATAATTTCCGCCTCCAGTACTGAGGATTGAATTCAGGGGCACTTTACCACTAAGCTATAGTCTAAATTGCTGAGCCTGGCCTTGAACGTGGAATCTCCTGCCTGAGTCTCCAGAGAYGCTGGGATTACAGGCATGCATCACCGCACCTAGTTCAGGGGATTAAACTGATAAAAGATCAAAATATTATGGGCAGAAATAACACGTGAATAAATGGAAAGGCTTGTTTCATTCAAATCATATGACTCAATATGTTACCATGTAAATTATTCTCATATGGTTCCACAGATTCAATGTAGCTCTAATCTAAAATGGCAAGCTTATTAAAGTTCACACAAAAACACTAGGGTTCTACCAGAGCCAAGACAACTTTGAAAAAGAAGAATAAAATTGAAGGGCAATACTATCTGCTTTCAAGACTCATTTTGAATGTAGAAGAATCAAGGCCAGGCTTTCTTTTCTTTTCCCCTCCCTTCCACTCCTCTCCCCTCCCCCTGCTCTCTCCCTCCCTTTCCTTTCTCTGCCTCTACTTACCTTCATTCTTCCTTCCTTCCTTCCTCTTCCTTTCTTTCTCTTCATTTTTTAACAACTGATTTTTTACATCAGTATGAAGTTCCCTTTTCCCCCACATCCTGTGGGAAAAGGAGAAATCTTTCAACAAATGCCAATGCAGAGCCAGACACAAAACGGTGACCTAAGATCTACTCTTGCAACATCTACTAAAATATTAGCTCTAATTGGATCCTTAATCTAAATACAAAACCTAAAATGTACCAAGTGCGGTAGTGCACGCCTGTAAACTCAGCAACTGAGGAGGGGGACAGGAAGATCACAAATTCATGACCAATCTAAACAATTTAGTGACACTGGCTTAAAAAAAAAAAAARRRKTKGG